TGTTCTGTACCAATTTATGTCTGTGACTGTGTGATGTCATCAATGAGTATGAAGGTGTCTGTGTAAGTTTTGTAAGGTTGTCTTTACTCAATGCTGTACAGGAGAGAGAGACAGAGAGAGAGAGAGAGAGAGAGAGAGAGAGAGAGAGAGAGAGAGAGAGAGAGAGAGAGAGGATTACGATAGGAGCTGTGCGCTTCATATGTTCTTTGTATTATTGTACAGCGTATTGAGCACCTCTTTGTGGAAATACGCTATATAAATGCAATTTATTATTATTATTATTATTAAAAATGAACTTCCCGACGTAGGCCTAGTTCGTCCCAATGCTGACTTCTTATAAGAGAAAGGGGAGGTGGAGGAATTAAAATTATGAAGAGGGGAAGAGGGGGCGGGGGGAGGAGGGAGGGAAAGAGAAAGAGGGAAAAAGCAAGATTTGCTGGAATAGTAAACCTCAACAAAACAAAATGTTAGTAGTCCCCATAAGTAGGCCGGCTATGGTGGATTAACCACTGCTGGAAGTTTGTGTAATGTAATTATTTTAATGCGAACGAAAACTATAAAGATAAATATTCTCATTACAAAACTGTATCGCATCGTAATTATTTTTGTTGTAATTGGGTTTTTAAGAATTTGCTTTTGCCCTCTTTAGGCAACATTTATCAGGGAATAATAACGTTCCTGGAGCTAATTTATTAAAGGATGATTTTGTCCAAAATAAAACTTTGAAATTTACAAAGCATTAAACAATATTATTATGTTTAACCTTGTTACTAAGGTGGCCGGAAGTGCGGATGAATATTTTTCTATATGGCTTACATTGACAACAAGAAAGATGGCGGAATATGGAGGACGTTCTGTCAATTCGCCAATACAAATTTTATAATCTTCACATAACTTCCCATATTCGGAGATGGCCTAAAATAAATACTTTTTAGTAAACATTTGATGTAGATGTAAACAAAAAGCTTTAGTTTTGGTTGCAACACGCTGTGATAGAAGAGTTATTTACATTTGTTTTTGCTGTGGTCTAATTTGTTTTTGGTTTGCACAGTAGTACAGTAGCGTAAAATTGTGTTGAAGTTGAACATGGCGTCAGGAGCAAAGATGTCATACAACCATTTTCAAAGTGGAAAATTTGGAGGTTTACCCCAAGCGTCTCAAAAAGATGCTGAAGTGACACAAGACATGCATTTGAAGATGTCAAAAAAGATAGCTCAGCTGACAAAGGTATGTTGATCGATAGCCTAAAATCCTTTAAAAAATTGAGGAACTCCTTCTCAAAGGTAGATCGAATCTAGGCCTATTCAATCTTCACAAATATCCCCATGACCCAGGTATAGCTTTGAGTGTATGTCTGAATCATATACTGTGTTATTTTTCGTTACTCCATAGGGATAACTGATCCTGTATTCAAGCTTCCCCAGACTAGATTAGATCTAGACTTAGGGTACAACAAATGCTGCATTATATATATATATATTATATATAATACCAGAGAGGGTTTACAGTAACAGTCGTGGCGGCGCTCCATAAAAACAGTGCATTGTTTTGCGTATTGCCCTGAGCAAGGTGCGAAAACATTCACGCGTGGTAATCACTGCTACTACGACACACTGAGGGATGCTGTCATGTCATTAGAAAATGTAGTGCCGTCGCTGTGTTTAGGTTACTATAATTATAGGCCTTTAACAAAGAAGGAGGTCTGTGTATTCTATCATATATTTTAGGCAACTCCCCTGCCATCCTCGGCTGTAAGCTTTAAGAGTTATTTTTTACCTAATACATTCTTCTAAAAAACTAATTGACACATGGATCGATCATTACTTCATTTATAGAGATCTGAAAGAATACCACAGTAATTAAAGGTAGAATAAGTTTATTTTCAGCAAAACTACTCGTTTACCAGTGTCCCTCTCGCTCTCTCTCCCTTTCTCTCTCTCTGTCTCTTTCTTTCTCTCTCTCTCTCTCTCTCTCTCTCTCTCTC